AAGACACCGGTGCCAACTGGGGCCCCTCAGGGTGGCGAGGACTGAGGGCCGCTTGGTGGGGGATGGGGAGGCCAGGACAGGACAAGACGCTGAGGGAAGGGGCGCCCTGGGGAGCGGAGGGAGAAGAGGGCTGCTCCCTCCTGGATCGTGGTGGGGAGCGAGTGGTTTCGTGGGGCTTTGGGATCTGCATGGAGGGCCGGGTGATGGGGATAGGTCTGGGGGAACCGCGCCTGGGGGAGCAGGTGGCTTTGCACAGCCACAGTCCAGGTTGGAGGAAGAGTGGGCCTGCCTCAGAAGGACCCAGGAGAACCCAGAGGTGTTGAGAAAGGGGCATTCTGGTGCCTCTGTAGCACCCATAGCCATCCAGTGAATTCCACTTCATTGTGACCCAGAATGGCTCTATGGGGTTTAGGAAAGCAGATTGCAGAGCAGCTGGTGGGTTTGAGCCACCAACCTTGCAGTGAGTAGACAGGTGTTGAGCCCACTTCGCCACCAGAACCCCTCATCTCTCAGGGGAAGGGCTTGCAAGTTTCTTTTCCTGAAGAGTTTTGGGGAGGGGACAAGAATAGAACGTCACCTACACCCCAAGAACAGACAACAGGGCCATTGTCTCAGAGCTGCGTCACAACCACATCCACCCAGCCTCCACCGACTTTCGCAGAGGACTCAGCACACTCTCACCTACTGCCCACTCCATCCGGGCACCAGACAGCTGGCCAGTGGTCCTTATTCTCTCAGCTTCACTTTGGGCGATGACACCAAGCCTTCTGCGTGCCCTCACCTCAGGCTGGCCCCACTCTCTCGCCAGAAAGTGTCTTCCGGTTCTAAGACTCACCACCCAACTTCTGGGACTGGCATCTGGACACGGCTTCACCACGGAGGAGCCTCGTCCCTGGTCACCTAATGCGGCCTGGGAGCAGAGGCATCCCGCTGCCCACAGCCGTTCCACGGGACCTTTTTTTTGAAAAATGTATAATAGTATACACAAACACTCGCTGAAAAACAATAAAATATTTTAAAACCTCTTTTTATAAAGTGTAATCTTTAGGTGAAGGGTGATGTTCATCTTTTTTCCTCCCAACTGACATGGGATACAGACATGATTAGGGGGGAGGCTGCGGGGGCGGGGTTGGGAAGGTGGATCGGATCATTGGCAGTTCCAGAGGGGATCCAGGCTGGCTGTAGTTGGGGGTGCAGAAGGAGGTCACTCCAGGGTCGCACAGGGTGGGAATGGGGGTTCTCAACTTTTGTGGAGGAGGCAGCATGCCCAGGACGCACTTGGCCCTGTGGGGTGAAGGGTGCGCAGGAGGGGCGCCTGTGGCTCTAGACCCCCTGTCCGAGTTGCCGGCCAATCCACAGGGTCAGCAGAGCAGCCAGCGCTCCGTCCAGGCCCAGGCGCGGGGCTGCTGCACGAACCAGGGCCCCTGGGGAAGCGGTGACCCTCCGGCTGCCAAGCGGCTGCTGCGGGCGGAAGTTGTCAGCCAGTGGCGTGGGCCCGGAGCCGGGGGGCCCTGCCGCGAGCAGGGTCTGGAACTGAGCTACCTGCAGGAACCGGCCAAGGCCAGGTCAAGACGACGGGTGAAGACCGCCGGGTGGTAGGTAAGGCGGTGGGGGGTTAAGGGCACCCACCTGCGCGCGCCCGATCGGCACCGTGTCCTGGAAGACGGTCCAGAGCACCGCTGGCTGGCACCCGGGTGTGGTCAGCGAACCTGAGTAGCGGTAGTAGCGCCCCAGGCTGGAGCTGGCTGGTAGCAAGGAGGCCAGAGAGAAGGTGGATGCCAGCTCTGTGGAGAGCCCTGGGCCAGGCGGCGGTGGGGTGGGGTGTGTGTGTTAGAACCGGCCTTCTCAGCCCCTAGCCCCAGAGACGCCCCCCACTCCACTCCACCCCACCCTACCCATCCCACAGGGGACCGCAGGTCTCACCGCGCGCAGACACGTTCTTGAGACCAGACACTAGGACCGAGAAGCTGGGGTTGTCGGTGTCTTGCTCCTAGTGGTGGTGGGGAAGGGGGTTCCAGTTAAGGGGGAGAGGGCGCGTCTACAGTGAGGGCTCTGGGGGAACTCTGTTCTGTGTATGGCAGGAGGTGGGGGCGCAGAGACCTGTGCTGACCCTACAGATTCGTGACAGCCCCAGGGCCACTGCCATCGCAGGTGACTCAGATGCATAGCGACCTTGCAAGATAAGGTAGAGCTTTGCCTTAGGATTTCTGAGGCTCTTGATCTTTCTCTGTGGAGCCACTGGTGGGTTTGAACTACTGACCTTGAGATTAGCAGCTCAATGCATAACCCAGACCGCCACTAGCGTCCAGGCTCTCCTGAAATCCAGCAGTCCTATGCCCCACCCCCCAGCGTCCTTCCCTGTCGTCCCACAGGGTGTCCATGGGTCCCCATCCCCGTCCTCACTGTCAACAGCACGGCCAGCACAGCGAGCCCGTCAGGATGACCCAGCGCCTCGCGCATGCTCCGGAACCGCGAGTTCACGTGCAGCACATGCATCTGCAGGGGCACAGACGTCAGAAGCAGCCCCTGCCTCAGCCGTGCCCCCCGCCCCCAATACACAGGATAGGACCCCAGGCCCCACCTCCATGGCGTAGCGCTGCCCGTCCAGGCTGTGCTCTGAGCCCGCGTATGCAGGAGCACCCCAGTGGAAGTGCACTTGCCGGGCGCGGTAGACCGACGGGGGCAGTCCCCCGCCGTGAATCTCCAGGCGGCTCTGCTGGCCAGTGTCCACTCGCAAGAGCACTGGGGAAGGGAGCAGTGACACCCTCTGCACTCGCCCCCCACCCCTGCACCAAAATGGGGTGCGAGCACAGGTTCTTCTTTCAGACCGATGTACCCTCCACCCCCGGGCGTGGGCAAGCCCCTCTGGTGGTCAGCTCACCTGCAGAAACCCTGACCGCACCGCAAGGCCAGAGAGCACACTGCCTACTGTTTGGGGCCTGTCCCTGGGGGGCGGTGAGCACTTTCTAAGCATGTTTTGACTCCTGCTCCTCATGGAAAGGAAGGGTCCTTGTTGATAGGGGTTCCTGATCGAGGACTGAGCTCTTAATCTCTGTATATGCAAACGGACATGGTCTGGTGGCACAGCAGGTGGTGTTGGGCTGCTAACCTCATCGTCGGTGGTTCGAGCCCACGGGAGGCGGATGAGGCTATTCCCATAAAGCTGGGATGGTCTGGGGAGCCCTCGGGGGCCAGTTCCACTCTGCCCTACACGCTGGCATAGTTGGAATCTACTGGAAAGCAGTGCAGGGGTTTTAAGGGGTTTCAGAGGGGGGGGGTGTATGTGGAAATCCTGACTTCCATGAGTTGAGTTCTCACTTAAAAACAAAAAGCTTACTGCCATCGTCAACGCTGACATCCCTATAGGACAGGGCAGAACTGCCCCTGTAGGTTTCTGAGATTGTGACTCTTTATAGTAGAAGAAAGCCTCATGTTTCTCCCATGGAGCTGCTAGTGGTTTTGAACTGCTGACCTTGCAGTTAGCAGCACAACTCATAACCACTACACCATCAGTTCTCACACTTCGTGTATTTCTGAACCCTTTTTTTTTTTTGAGTGGTGGTGGTGAAGATTCCCAACCTGCGTAGTGGCTCTCTGCCCCAATGTATGTGCAGGTGTAGTTCCCAGCGTGTGTGGGTCCCTGCCCCTCTCTGTGGAGGGTCCTAGCCCCAGGGTGCTGACCTGTATGGCCATCATTCTCCAGGATCCACGGGCCCGGGGGTGCAGCATTGTACCCTTTGAAGATGAAAGGCCCAAGGGTAGGGTCCCTCCAGACCAGGTGAAGGTCAATATTGATAGGGGACTGGGCTGGGCCCCCACAGGCAGGGGCCACCTCCTTCCAGTGGGTGGGTCCTGTGGGGACAAGGTCTGTGCATGCAACACTGGAACAGGGCGGACGGCCACGTGGACACAGTCACCCTTGAGGAGAGGTGTGTGTCATCATATGCCCACCCAAGGAAGCCCCCACCAGATGCACACGGGGACCTTACAGGATGCCTACATCCACCGACACCAACGACAGACAGACACCCATTCCAGATTACAGAGACAGGACCACGGACAGAAACTTGCTCAGTCCACAGGAAACCCGCCTACAAAGCTGTCCTCACCACACGTGGGGTCCTGGGAATCATAGCACCATGCACCTGTGAGCAGCCGGGAGAGCAAGCTGATTTGAGAAAACCCCCATCCTCCCACCCTAGACCAGGTGCAGGGAAGGCAAGGACGGGTAATGCACCGAACCCTGGGCTGCTGGGTCAACTGCCTCCCAAGGAAGCGCCCCCAGTAGCAGGAGGCGTGACGACCCGCACTCACCCTCCAGGTCTGCGCGTGTCCCAGGCAGCACCATCAGGAGGGTTAGGGTGAAGCCGGCAGCCAGCATGGTGGTGGTGGTGGCCAGGGAGGCTCGCAGGACTGGGCTGTGGCAGGGCCAGGGGGCTCCAGTCACGAAGGGCAATGCGGCGGGATAGGGGCGCAGTGAGTCCCAGGGCATGGGATCCGAGGGGTGGTGCTGGCAGGACTCTGAGCCAGAGGGCAGCAGGTCTGGGCTGTGTAGTGCTGGCAGAGATTCCTCTGAACGATGTGATTGACTCCCTTTGCAGATGGAGACCAGGAGTGTGACATACCAAGGATGGAGTGGGCGGTGGCCTAGACCCTGCCCCCACAGGCCCGCCCCCTGGGGCGGTCTGTGGCTGATGCCCCAGGGTTCTCTAGCAGGGCGCTTGCTCTTTGCACACTGGGAGAGAGCTGGAAGGTGTCTGACGTGTGGGGAACCCAGGTCTAACTGGGTGCTCTCCCCAACCTCGCTTTCAGCCATGGAACCAACCTCAGGATTGCTCCCAGTAGGCAAGCAGCCTCTCCTCCTGAACCAGAGGTGTGCCACTGTGGTAGGATGGGTTCACAACCCCCCTCCCCGCCCAATTCCTGGCCTGGGGTGCTGGGAAAGACTGCTTCTGAGAATTAGGAACAGGTCTGCCAGGAGGGAATGGAGATCGAGGTGGCAAGGGGCTGCTGGGAACTTTGTACACTCAGGGGCCCTTTCTCATCCATCACCCCACAGTTCACCAGGGGTTTGACATGGTGTTTGGAGACTTGGGGGGGAGGGACGGAGGCCATACTCAGCCATCAGCCTGGTTGGACCTTCTACCACTGGCCTTGAAGTGAGCCCCACTCACACAGAGAATGTTGGACAACGTACACACACTCCACAGGGTTTCTGAGGCGGTTCATTTTTTGACACAGAGCTGAGGGAGTTAACAGCCTAATGCTTACCTACCATGCCACCAAGGATCCTCCTGTAAGGTTGACAATTTCCCAAACCCACTGACATTGTGGGGTGGGCTCTGATTCCCGGGGACCCTATGGGGACAAACCCTTAGTGTTTCTGGGCCTGTCAATCTTGACTGGAGCAGGCTGATAACCTCATCATCCCCCCCACCCCCACCCCAGGACATCTGGTGGGTCTGAATTACAGCCCAGAGCACCATCCAAACTCAGGCAGCCACACCCCAGGAGGCAGTAGGCTGCACCAAGGAGGGTACCAGGCCTCTCAGAACACATTTATTTGGCATTTGGATGAAATGGTTCTCATAAGAAAAGGATTAGTGTCAAACCAGCCCCAAATAAACCCAACCAAGAACCCTTAGTGAAAGAACACAAAACAGGCATGGGGACCATGTACAGTATCAAATTCCAGCTCTGGGGGTGGCTGGCTGGCCAAGGAGCAAAATCCTACCTCATAGCAGGTGGCCCACAGGAAGTGGGGAGGGCTGAACGGACACTAGCTCTCCTTGCCCACCTCACCTAGAGCCACCATTACCCAGACCAATGAGGTGGAGAGCAGGGCTCTGGACACCCAGTGGTTGGTTGAGGGGGCCAGGTGAAGGGAAGGGAGCCACTGGGAAGGGCCCGGCAGAGGCAGGTCCACCCCTGTACCTCCTACAGGGGCCCAACCAGTCTTGTGTCTGGGCTCCTGGGTGGGGACCCTCAGCACTGCTCAAGACAGGCCCAGGGTGGTCCTCGTACACTTGAGACACTTGGCGGCAGCAGCTGGACTGTCACTGTGGCTCTTGGGTGTGGATCAGAGCCATGCCAGTTGGAGCATGCAGCATGGGCACACGGTACACTTCCCAGTGGCAGGTCCGTCCCAAGGCAAACAGGGCCCCTTCAGCAGTGCCGGCCAGCACATTGCTGGGCTTTGCTGGGACAGGGCAGCTCAATGGTCAGGTCACTCTGGGGATCATCTTCTTGTAGGATATGCTCCAGAGGCTTGTCACTAGACCAGCAGCCTGTTGCTGCTCGTGATCCTGGTCTGGAAGGTGAAAGGACAAGAGATGCATCCTGGGGATCTGCCGCCTCACCTGAGTTCCTGTTTACTGCCACCACCTGTCAGCACACACACGTACGAACATACACATAGATGCATATACACTCACTCACTCCAGATATTCCATGTAGAAAAGATATGGATGTGCTAAAAATTGCACAGAACGGAGTTGTCTGCAACCTCAGAAATACCGAGTGTGCCTGGGGCTGCACTGTCAGGTGAGCAAACAGCCCAGGCCTTTATCCCCAGCGGTCGTTTAGTGGGCAGGACAGGGGCTTTCAGGAGAGAATGACCCAGGATGGTCACTGACGCTACCGTCCAGCCAAGCTACACCCTTTATGGCACAAACGAAGTGACTGAGGAAGAGGAGAGGTCAGGCCAGGGGCCAAGCCAGCAGCAGCAGGGCTCTAGGTGGGACAAGAGCTGGCTTCTGGGGCCAAGGGTGAGGACCTCCCCATCCCATGCTGCAAAGGCTCCTGGGAGCATAGGAGGCAGTCCTACTAGGAGTGAGCATGTGGGTGGGTGGCAGGCAGGAAGCTTGCCAGCCTTCCATATTCCTCTCAAGGCCAGAGAAGCCTCCAGGTCAGGGTGAGGTCTTGGGCTTTGGGACCCCCCCCAGGGAAGATTGAGCACAGGCAGCCACTGGAGTGCCTGTCCTGATGCAGACCCTGTGAAGCTGAAGCCTTTTGGGTCCAGCCGAGTTTTGCAAGGCCCCTATGGCCCGCACCCAGCTCTGCCTGGGTTGCTGACGTCCTGGGAGGCCACCCGTCTGCAGAGGGCACACTGGAGCGGCACAAGCACAGTGCATGTGTGGGTTGGCCTCAGCGCCCCGGCCCATGGCACATAGTCTGAGCGATTGTGATCTTCCTTCCGCCATTTACCAAGAAAAAGACAGTGACCCAAAGCTATGCATGTGTGTGAGGCCCTTGGGATCTCCTGATGACCGGGTCTCACGTCCCAGCATGTCTCTGGATGCGCACGCACGTTGGGGTGGTGGGGTTAGCGGCAGTGGAGCTGGGTCCAGGCGAGGTCCAGGGCCGACAGGTTCTTAAGAGCCACCGAGGTGGCTGGGCTACCCTCTAGACGACCGTGTTGAAGGAGCCCCGGCCGTGTAGGCTGCCCCCCAGCAGGGCTTCTGCAGCTGGTGCGCTCTCGCTCGGGGTGGGGGCTGGGGGCACCAGCAGAGCGCTGCTGCTGTCGGCTGAATCTTCTAGGTCTGCCAGCGATGCCCCCACAGGGGGCAGAGGCTGCTCCAGGTGCATAGGGGAAGCCCCATCACCGTCACTGTCCCCTTGGGCTGGCGGGCTGGCCTCCGGGGGCTCAAAGGCATCGTCATCTGCAGGGGACACAAGAGGGCATCAGGGACAGGGCTTGGGGCCTGGGACAGGAGGCAGGGTAGAACTGGGAGGGGAGGGCGGGGACCACCAGCACTCCTGCCTGGGTGCCCAGCCTGTGCCAGGTGAAGGAATAGCATGAGCAGGTCAATTGGCTCCTGGCATCCTGTGTAAGGTGTGCGTGTGTGCATATTGAATTTGCATGTGTGTGAGTGCTATGCTACACTGATGGGCTCATTCAGAAGAGAGCACTCAAAGGCACACTCCTGGACCACAGCCTAGTCTGAGGTGTATGGTGAATGTGGGCTCTGGGTTGGTTGACAGAGAACAGGGAGGGTCTGGGACTGGAGTGTGTGACCATGTGGGAGTCTAGCTGGAGCAGGCAGGGCCCTGCAGGCCCAGGAGTGACTGGACAAAGTGCTGGCAGGCCACTCACTTCATTTGAGCCTACTCTGCATTGCCAGGTGGTCTAAGGGGCAAGGGGTCACACACAAGCCTCCCCAAATCACAGATGATCTCCACCGGCCCTTCAGACACACTCCACTCAGCCTGTCCCTGGGGGCAGGGCAGCATGTGCCGCACAGTGAGGTGCACGGGGACAGGTGTGAGTCTGCGGGCATGTACAGCACAGGCGGTCACTGGCGCTGAGCTACAAGGCCCCGGCCAGGTCGTCTCTGCACACCAGCCCTGGGAAGACATGCTCCCCTGGGCTGGTGGGAAGCAGTTGTTCGTGAGAAGGAGGAAAAGGTTGTCCTGGCCAAACTGGTGCCCTCCCAACAGAAAGGCCCAGGTGGCCAGGCCTTGGGCTTGACCTGCAGTCACTCATCCACCTGTGGGCCTCCTCAGTCTGGAAATAGCCTGCCCAGGACAGGTTGAAAGGTGTGGATTCATTGTTGGGTGGTTGTTCTGGTTCTTTCAAGCTTCTAC